AGAAGCTCCATTGAAATTATTACATCATCATGAGTGCATCTCTCACTTTGACAAGGGTAGTAGTCAAGAGGTTGTTGACATTTGATACAGCTTGTGTACTCACCATCATACCTTCATTTGAAGTAGAAGCCAGAATTTGGTAAGCTAGAGTCAACAAAGAACCAACTTTAGAGTTTTCATATTCTTTTTCACTTGAGCACACAACAAAACCTGAAGAGAGAATTTGCATTCCTCTTGTGTCTTCACCCTTAATAGCAACTTGAAAAGACGCAACATCAGTTGGAGTAAATATAACATATGATCCCACAGCTGATTTGAAGCTTTCTTGAAGAATCACCATCTGATTTTCAATGCCCGGGACCGAAGGCTGGTTCACATAATTAGAAAAAATGAAATCAATTTATATTGTGTTCGATTTGAATGTGACAAAAATTTATGTTAAATGAATTTATTTTGTAAAAATACCTTAATAACAGAAATGAAATTTTCTGGATGTCCATTCGACATATGCGCAATCTCTTGCACTGGATTTTCGTACGAAAGTACATCCCACTGTAAAAATAAATATAAATAAATATGTTATCGATAACAATTATTCGATAAGAAGTTATAATCTTATATATCAAATGAACGGTTTATAATGTAATTCAAACCTTAAATCTTTCGGTATGATCAATGAGAAATTCAAAAACTTTATCAGCTTGTAGAGGAATGAGAAGTGTGGAACTAGCACAAATAATTGTGCCATTTGGTTTTCCTTTACCAGTATTTGTATCAACAGATATGTTAATCCCCCCAATACTCTCTTTAATTAAACTTTGAAAGTTCAATTTATTTTCTAGGGCTAAACTTTCACAAAACATCTTAACCATTCGGTGTGAAAGCTTCATCACGCTCTTCCTCCCTTCAAGTGTTTGAATCACTGCGTAATAAGCAACGTATAAATTAATTTACACACAAAAATAAGTTTCCTTATTCGAATTACAGAGTTAGCGTTCAACATAACAATATCAGTTTTGTCACTATAAAAATTATAATATTTTACATTAAATATGTATATAAATTAAACTTGGATTAAAAACTAGGGTTTATTTGTAGAGTAAAGTTGAGAAAGTGTAACCTCCTTCGAAATCTTGATTAGATATTCTTTGAACATAGAAACTGGCTGATTTCTCACACATTCTTTGAAGCTCTTTAATCCAACTTTTTGCTCCATATAAATTATTGATATCAATAATATTTTTGTATAGGCGGTGTGTATGGATCTTATCACCCAATTCCACATGTTCAACCCAAGTAACCTAAAACATAAAACAAGTAAGATCAGATGACTCATATTTGAAACCTGTATTTTAACTATATTTCTAATGTCGAAATATGAGTTTTGTGGTCTAGATTAGAAAACCCGTGTCATTTGAATTTGTCAAATTTTTTGTTATACTAAATTTCACAAATATGCAATCATACTGACCGAACAAAAATCGACAGACATTGCATGAATCAAGCATCCAGACGGACGTTTCCAAGAGCGAGTAGTTGGACCAATTTCTCGTAGAGAGGAATCATATGACACATCTGTTATCACCCATACTCCATCATCAATTTGCTTACAATAGCGAATGATGGAAAATTCACGAGGTTGCACAAGAGGTGATAGAATATGCATTTGTTCATACATCTACCATAAAATCCACATTAAAAAAAAATCCATTAGTGTCATAGTCAACATATTTTTAACATAAACCAAAATTTACACAAAAATCAAGTTACCAATTGCAATGCTCCATCTCGATTTCCCGTTGATCCGTTTTCAAACACTTTAATTATTTCGGATTTTGAAACAATCGTTGGGAACAACTTCGCCCATTTCATCTGTCTCAATTAAAATATTTTATAGAGATGATCTATATTAAAATTCACAAAACAAATATTCAACCAAAAAAAAATGAACTAGATAACATACAAATGAGTCAAAAGTGCCTTCTTACCGGGTCCAATAACATGTCAATTAATGCCATGCTACTGATGTTGACAAGTGAAGTATACTTTGATGATTCTTTAACTACATTTTCACCTTTGAAGTGATTTGGTTTTGGAAAAGCTTGCTCATAAAATTCATGAGAAAGAGTTAGCATCTCATCTTCCAAACTAGAAGATTCCATCCAAAAAGGTTCATGGACACGCACAAGTGTCACTAATTCATTCATTGCAATAGCTGCAATTTGAGATATTATTGATTTTTCCACATCACCAATTGGTTTTGGTTCTTTCACTAACATTCCATGATTATGACTTGAACTTCCACCAATTTCTTGTCTAAGTGGAATTTCAACTTGTAAGTTTCTTGCAATTGCTTTTGTTTGAGCAAGAGATTGCTTAAACTCATCTAGTGACATCTCTTTCCTTGAGTACCTTGCTAAAAGAGTGGAAGCTTTCTCAACCTAAAAAAGTAAAATTTAAATTATATAATAAATATAATATCTAATTTTAAAATGATTTATCTTCTAACTAAGTTGGGCCTTTTATGTTAAAGTTGTTAAAAACATGACATTCGACTGAACTAAGGAGACTTCTAGATCGTCCAATAAATTCAATCACAAATAAATTAAATATAAAATTGATTAATAAAAATAAGATTAATATTTAAATAAAAATGACAAAAGATATAAATTAATTAAATCAAGTGAGATTTAATCATGATTACATTTTATTAAAATAAGTAGAAGTGGATAACGATCATATTCATCATGTTTAGATCCGTTTTACAAAAATGTGTAAAAAAATAGATGAATATAGTTGAGAGTGAAATACTAAAATTTTATTCTATTTTACGGAAAAAAAATAAGGATGGAACAGATGGTCATAAGAATATTACAGCCTTAAAGTTAAGAGTTGTAAAATTTCTCGTTAATATTTACGTCTATAAAAATTAAAAGAAAAGAAAAAAAAAGAGACATATTAAAAAATACTAATCTAAAATCTTAATTCGTTTAAAAAAATACGACAAAATTGACAGATCATATATGTTTTATCACTCTAAGATAAACCGTATTATAATTGAGATCAAATCAACAAGATAATCAATGAAAAGAAATCACTAGCCTCTTCTTTAAGTCTGGTATTTTGCTCTCCCATATTTTGCATGTAAAGTTCATGCTCTTTAGAAGCAACTGGAGGACCCCCACAAGTTCTGCAAAGTTTGGCCTTCAATGCCTCCTTCAAGTGAATATTTTCATGAAGAAGATCATCATTCTCAACACGCAGAGCATTATTATTTTCTCTACTATTTTGTTTCTAGATGCAAAAAATATATATAAAATGATTAGTACTTATTATATGAGAAGCATGTGAAATAAATTTGGAATGAAATTAAGAAATTAGTGAAAATAAAATACCTTCATTAGAGTTCTTCTGTTTTGAAACCAATATTTCACTTGTATGGGCTCAAGCCCAATCTCTTCAGCTAATTGACTTCGTTGGGCCTTATCTGGATGATAATTTTGTTCCATGTATCTTTATTAAAAAAAATTATTTCAAGTTAATTGAGTAGGATTTTTGATAATACATAATTAAAAAAATTATTTAGTCAAACAGAAATATACTTTTTTTTTTGAGAAAGAAGAAAATATAGAAATACTATAATCATAGAGTTCATATTTGCTCATTATCCCTTTTAATTCCCTATTTTCTATATAAAAATACTAAAATTATTTACCATCTATACTAATTTACTTTAAAATGGAGAAAATTTAGCGAACCCCTTACATATATTATTATAATATTGAAAAAACCAAATACTAATTTTTGAACAGTCAACTCAAGAATTAATTTTAAACCAGGAGAGTGCTTCGAAAATCTGTTGAAAATCGAAAATCTGAATTATAATAGGTTAGTAAGGAAAATGATTTGATCATGATAAATCTATTTATATGTGACAACAAAATTTCTTTATATTTTTTTGATAATTTACTAATATAAACAGGTTATTAAAAGTGGTGTATGCTCCGATAAAATAAATAAATTAAGAACATAATTAAATAAATTTAAAAGAAAATAATGTTAGTAGTAGTTATCTTACTTTTCAAGTATTGATGTCTGATAGATTGTAAAACGCATGTTGGATGATCGATTACCATTATTTGAATCATTGATGTCTTCTTCATCAAATCCATCAGAAATTCTCATTGAGTAATCCATTTATAACTTAACTAGATAGTGAGATATACTCGCAAACTATTGAAATTTATTTCTTTTATGAACTTATATATGCGGAATAAACGTTCGAGAAACTTTAAAATAACCTTAAATAAAAAATTAAAAAAAAATGATTTAATGAAAAAGAAAAAGGCAATAATTCAATTAATAGTCATGGATTTTCCTTTAAATTCATATTGATAAATTAAAGATTTATCGATTTTTGGGTTTTTTTGTCGTTAATTAAATTAAAAAATACTAACATAATATATTCAAAAAGGTTAAAAGACTAATATAAATTTATTTTAAATTAATAGTCTAAAATAAATTTCAAGATTAACATACATGACCAAAATGAATATTAAAATTGATAAAATATAGATAAAAAGTAATTTGATATTAAAAAATAATTTGTTTATTAAAATTAAAATATTTAAAAATAAAATTAATATTAAATTTTTTTTATTATATGTATATTAAGTGTATATCAAACTCATGAATTAATAAGTGTATATCCTAAAGATTATTATGTAATTTGAATATAATAAAAGAAAATTATTATATCACTATTAAGTGTATATCAAAAATATGAAATGATAAAATAACAATATCATATATTTTAATTTTATGTGTATAAGTGGGTGAGATAGCTCAACTAATATATCATATTTGAGTAAAATATATTTTTAATTTTATATAAATATATTTGACATAAAATTCTATCGAATATATATAAACATGTACCCTAGAATAATTGTATGTTTTTCTAGCCAATACAAATTGTAAATTTTAACTTTTGGTTAAATATTCCATTTGAAATACTACATTTTAGTATAGTATAATGCATTGTATTAGGAAGGTTTTTAAATAATATATATGGTAGATCAATAATGCTTAATGTTATTATAATATTAATATTATAAATAATGATATGATAAATATTAAATAAAAAATAAACTATATTTTGGAAGGATAATTTTTGTGTGGAAAATAATATATGATCGTTGGAAGCTGTAGAGACATCCTTTAATATAGAGACGGAAGTTCGAACTCATTACTTTATATTCACTTTTGAGTAGAATTTTGAGTTTCAACCCAAATTAACCATTTTTCGTATTTACAATATTTATTTGAGCATGTATCTAAATGTGAAGTAGAATAAATAGTGGAGGAAGAATATGATAATAATATGATGTAATTGAATATTCATAGAATTCATACATATTATTTGAATGGACATACAACTTATATTAAACTAAATATATATATAATTTTTTAAAGCACTTAAGTGTACTGTTTTTATTAAAATTTCAATAAAAAATAATTTTTATTATGTATGTCAAATATTTAATTTCATTATAATATTTTTTAGAATATAATATGAGCACTAAATATTTTCACTAAATATGTATAGTTGAAAGAGGTGAAAAGTTCACAAATTATGGTAAAAAATTGACTTTTTTTTATTTTAGTGGATATGATTAAATATGATTTTTATGAATAACATGAGAAGTCAAAAACATTATGAAAAAATTGAAAAATAATGGAATAAATCTTATTAATTAAATCTGCATAAATATATTTTTTATAGTCGTAAAAAATTTCTTTATGGAAGAATAATGTTGAAGAAATAAAATTATTATCTAATAATTGATGCAATGCACCGAAAGTCAAATGTTGTTTGAAATATTTTGACAAATGATCTCTCACATCTATTGATTTTTTTTTCTTTCTTTTTTCGGTTGGACATATGCCTCCAAATACAAGAGGATGGAGATTGAGTTGTATAAGTTTGAAAAATAGTATCTAAATAATTTTTTTGATAAATTAGAGTTTAAAATAAGTTTGTAAAACAAATAAAAAATAGCAATTGGTTAAAGAAGATTAGAGTAGAAAGAAAAAACTAAAGCAGAAGTAAAAAAATGACTTAAATATAGGTTTGATAAGGCTTTTTGATAGATACCATCAGCAGAGAGTTTGCTTGATCAGAGATCTTCACCGAATCCATTAAAATCCATTTGACATTGGTGTTGTCCTTTATAGATAGGCTTTGACATATTAATATTCAAGAATCACAACTTGATCATCTCATAAAATAAAGACTTCATCGGAGTGTTTTCATCATAAAAACAGAATAAGTCAATAGATTATTAATTCATTGTACCTACAAGCACATAGGTTAAATCCACCGTGCAGTAACATTTTTGTTATCAACCCACCAAATGGTAACCAAATATTCTTTCTTTTGTCATCTATCATATGATGGATCACAGTATTGGGCCAATTTGTTTCTACTATGTTTGCAAATAACCAAATCAAGGAAAATGAGTTATGTTAGTTTCCCAAAGTTATGTTTCATTGGGATAAGAATATTTGTAATCGCATAGTGAGTGAGACGAATATCCAAGAGCACTAAGCCCTCCTTGAAAGGAGTAGAAATTCCAAGAATAATCATTACCTACTTCTTCATCAATTTTGTACTTTGAACAGTACAAGGAAGGTTGCATTTCTTAGTGAACTCTTAAAGAGATAATCTGATATGTTGCTTTTTCACTTCACTGATAAGGACCCCCTAACAGAGTTGAGGTTGGAATATAACATTATACCAAATCTGGAAACTTCTCTTCATAGATGTTGTTAGACGATAGGCCGCGATCTAGAGGGTGGTGAATAGATCGCTAATAAAATTTTCTTGGTTAAAAATCATTTTAAAAATCATTTTAAAATTTGTTTTAAAAATTTGTTTAACTATGGAAAGCAGAAACAATTCAGGATCACTAATCGTCTATTCGAATCATTATCGAAATGATCAGATATGCGTTAAACCGTATCAAAGAGGAATTCAAATGATGAGAAAACTAATCAATATATTTTCAAATATAACATTTGAATAAAATCTCACAATCATAAATGATTTCCAATGAAATATTAAACAAAAAACTTAACTTAGGCAATTTGTCGAACACTTGATGTGGAATCAATTCTAATCAGATTTTTCTTTGGTTTTCTTGATATGAAAAACAAACTACAATCTTAAGATTGCAATCAACTCAACAAAAGAAGTTTGAAATATTATTAACAAATAAGTTATCTCGACATATTGATTCACAGTCAATGAATTTAAAATTTGCAATTAAAGTAAAAGAGAGAGAGAGAGAGGAGAGAGATAAGGATTTGTTTAGCCAGTTCCTCAATCAGTCTCGTTATGGGTACATTTTACCTCAATTCCTAATGGAATTGAGATAATAAAATTTAACCTTTGCAAATGTTTTTACAAGAGAAAAAGTAGCAATTCAACTCTCCAAATCCTATGTTTGATATTTATCCTATCTTTTTATCTTCTCTTGATCTTGAGCTCGATCAAGTAATCAAATACTTCCAATTTAATCCTCTTATTATCGTTACTCCTTTGACAGAAACTTCGTTCTTCAAAGCTTTCACTCGGTTGAATCCAAATTGCAAACTATTGTGACCCAAGATTACCAAATTGATCCTCCAGTTACCGTTACTCCTTTGATAGAAACATCTTTCTTCAAAGCTTTCACTCGGCTGAATCCAATTTGTGAAATATTGTGAAAAATTCCCAAATGAACTTTGATTTTGGAAGAAAACCCCAACTAGATTTATCTTGAAACCCCCAAAGAATTTCCTACCCAATTGATTACAACCAACCTAATTGGACCTTATCACATTATATTTAGACCACACAACAAAAATGATTATGTGTAATTGTTGTATGAATGTTATGAAAGAGGATGAAGATGATGAAAATTTTCTTTGTATATATTTTGTTTCAATCTTATTTCCATGATGTGTGAATGCCTTTATATATGTGTGTATGTGTAAAAGAAGTAACAGAAAGATCATATTTACAAAATTAAAGTTTTAGACATTTTAAGTCATAGGGAATCGACTTATTTGAGTTGGGAGTCGACTCATCGGAGTTGGCCCATGCTGCTTGGGAATGGACTCCAAGAGGCCAAAAAAATTGGGAAAAAAAAGGTACAGAAGGATTCGACTCACAGCTCGAGGGAGTCGACCCATTCGTTTTGTGTGTCGACTCATAACACCTTGTGTATCGACCCATCAGAGACAAAGATTTTTTTCAAAAATTCTTTCAATGGGAGTCGACCAACATCTTGAGGTAGTCGATTCATTCGTGTTGTGTGTAGACTCAAAATTCCTATGTATCAACTCTTACTAGGAAAAGAATTTGATTTTCATTTTTATTCAGCGGGAGTTGACTCCTAACATGGATGTGTCGACTCTAAACATAGTTTTTCATGAAAATTCATATTTTTTACTTATTCAAATGCTTTTGACTTGTTCTATAAGTGTCCTAAGATGAAAGTGCATACTTAGACATAGAGAGATAAGGTCCAATATACAAATACTAAATATGACATAGTTTTAACATGATTCAAAATATCTAAGAGTATAGTGCACTCACAAATGTCACACATGAAGCTCCTTAGTGAGGCTTCATTAAACAATTTCAAGAACTCACAAGTGGTATAATGAAGGATCCTTCATCTTGCATAATATATGTTAAATTGATCCTCTCGTGCTTGAGATGAAAAGAAGTCCTAGAAGTAAGTAGTAGACAAAGAGAATCTTGAGAAAGCTACCCCTCGAGAAGGAACGACAAATCATTGTCAAAATTTCATATCTACGAATTGCTTAGTATTAGAGTTTACTTAAACATCCTCAGGAGTAATATGATCATCAAATATTTTCAGACTCTATAACCAGAAGAACTATCATGATTGTTGAGCACCTCTGTCAATGCCAACAAATAGCTTGATCAAATATGACTATTAAGCACCACCAACAATGCCAACAGACAACTTGATCAATCAAGGATCATCAATGCCATCAAAATTGATCAACCTTTATTATGATTATCAAACATCATCATACTTATCTTGTATAATCATAGTATACACATGTTTGCACAACTATATTAAATTTACAATAAGAACCTTCAAAACTGCAAAGCTTTT